TTCCTTTTGATTGTGAGCCGCCCTGAGTCCCCCCAGGGAAAAGGGCGGCATACAAATAAATAAACTAAATTAAACTAAACTAATTTTTCTTTCCAAAAAAGTGGGTGGAAATGTCTGTGTGTCTTATAGAGAGAATACTGTGGTGGTGGAGAGGGGAGTTAGTGCGGTGGCAGCGTTTACCACCACCGCCTGTCTGCACCACCACCTGTCACCACTGCCACAGTTCACCACCGCCAGGGAACACTGGAGTCTTTGCTGCCGAGCAGCTGACTGGCAGTTGGATTGGCCTCCTGGAATACCGCTGATCAGTTGTTTTAGCTGCTGATCACCGCCACCATTCTCCACTGCTGCCAATCACTGCCAATCTCCACTGCTGAATAGTGACAGCGGTGAGAGGTGCCGGTGGCAGGGATAGGTGGCAGCAGCAATAGGCAACTAGAACAGTTGATCAGCAGTATTCCAGGAGGTCGATCCAACTGCCAAGCAGCTGCTCAGCAGCGAAGGCTCTAGCATTCCCTGGCATGGCGAATGGTGGCAGCAATGACAGGCAGCAGTGATGGCAAACGCCATCACCACACCAACTCCCTCCCTCCACCATGATATTCGCTCTTTAAGAAGAATAGAATAGAATAGAATAGAACAGAACAGAACAGAATTGTTTATTGGCCTAGTGTGATTGGTCACACAAGAAATTTGCCTCCAGTGCATAAGCTCACATTACATATATAAACAGCAAGTAATGTCATCGATCACAAATCATAATTACAATAATAATTACAGGTTACAAATAGCAATTGATAAATCATAAGAAGATAGTAGGAAAGTTGAGATGATGAGAAGAGATGAGAAATTAGACTGCTGTGAGAATTATATGTCTAGCAGAATGATGGCACGGGAGGAAAAACTAGTTTTGTGTCTAGTTGTTTTGGCATGCATTGCTCTATAGTGGCATCCTGAGGAAAGAAGTTAAAATAGATTATGCCCAGGATCGCCCTCTTTCTGGTTCATGTAATATACAGATTGTCAATGGAAGGCAGGCTTGTTGCAGTGGTGGGCTCCAGATCCCGTTGCAACTGGTATGCTGCAACGGGGCCCGCATCCACCACGTGAATGCACACAGCATGCGTGCAGTGTGTGCATGCATACTTACTGCCCACAACGTTCCAGCTGCTCGACAGAGCATGGCGCAGGCATCGTACGCTCTGTGCGGGTGCACGAAAGCTCCCATCAGCTCAAATAGCAGTAAGAAGAGCAGGCAGGTGGTTGGGCCCTCCAGAGCACTGTACCAGAACAGTAGCTGGTGCTCCCAGAGGCACCAGTACATGCATACGGGGGCATACCAGTTGTATCCCACCACTGGCTGGTTGCGATTCTTTTTTATGCAGTCCCAACTATCTGTTAAAGTCTGTACCTGTCCTGTTCGGTTGCTATACCAAATCAGATAGTTGTTGAGATACAAATAACAGACCAAATAATTCCTCTGTAGGCTATATCAGCAGATCCTTGGGCAAGAGCCAAGGTGGCGCAGTGGTTAAATGCAGCACTGCAGGCTACTGCTAGATCAGCAGGTCAGCGGTTCAAATCTCACCGGCTCAGGGTTNGTTGAAGTCCACAAGTCTTAAAGCTGTCAAGTTTGAACACCTCTGGGTTTTTTTTCTAAAGGGTTAGGGGGGCAAGGGTCTTGTTACTTAATAGTTTTAAGACTTGTGTGCTTCAAATGCCAGAGTTTCTGAGCAAAGATTTTGGTTGCTAAGCAAGAGTGTTGTTAAGTAAGTTTCACCCCATTTTACAAGTTGGCTACGCCCACCCAGTCACATGGCTGGCAAGCCACTCCCACAATGCAGGCCACACCTACAGAAGTGGTTCTAAAAAAAATTGAAACCCACCACTGGTATGCAGTAACGGTGGGATGGGCTAGTGTCTGTAATACAATACTGGAGAAGCACATATTCTGTTGCCTACCAAAATCATTGCCACTTTATCCCCAAACGTGTGTGAACTTTAGCTTTAGCCATTGCTCTACGATTTTGAGACACTTTTAAGGATTATATAATTTTTGCTAAAAAGTAAGGTAGGACATTCTGACTGCAAAGACAAGTTGATAAACATTAATAAATATTTTTTTCTGTTTGGGTTGTTGATTCATTTATTCCTATGAATTCATTAGATCTTTTTTGTAGGAGCTCAAGGAGTTTTCAGAGGAAGAGGACTGTTCTGTTGTAGAGCATTTGGGCTTCAAAAATTTCAGTAATAGATTCTCTGCTCAGTTGCTGGGTGGGCGTGGCCATGGTGGGTGTGGCCTAATTGGCCTACTGCACCATGGGGCAGGGGGCATTTTCACCTTCCCCAGGCTCCAGAGGCTTTCCTCGAACCTCTGAGAGGGTGAAAAATGCCTCCCCCAGGCTCCAGAGGCCTTCCGGGAGGCCCATTTTCCTCCTTCCCTGAGCCTCCGTGCAGGGTCTGCACTACCTCGCACCAAAACAGGTCATGTGGAGACTTTGGGGAGGGGCGAGGGGAAGTGGCAGGGTCGGGGCGGGCAGGGCCAGCCAGGAGTGAGATTTGGAAGTTCTCTGAACCGGCTATAACATTAACTATGGGTTCTCCCGAACCCAGGCAAACCCATAGCAGCCCACCCCTGGCTAGCTGCCAAATCGATTTAAACATATTTGGATGTATCCTATTAAACTAACAGAATAGCTAAGAAGCCATTGGTGTGGGTTTCCAATCTCCATCTCTGTTTTTCTTCCTCTCTCCCTACCCAGCTCCATTTTTTTTCCCCAGACATAGACACTTAAAGTATTTTCAGTTAATCAAAATATTTTCTGATGAGTATTTATTTTTGCAAGATTTTGCTTTTGGATTTAGACTTCCTTTTAAACAACCATAGACTGCGATATTAATTTGCTATATAACCAAATAAGACTGAGATTATTCTGCCCTGGCTTTGGAATCAGTCAATGGTGTGAATATATCTATTAGGGTAAAATAAGCAATTAGAAGCACATCTTTCAGCATTCAACTGCTTAGCATACCATGCTACAGCCATATGTCCTAAAAACAAACAAAAGGAAGGGTGAACTCTTGAGGCCTCCTTCTTGATATCACTCCACCAACCCACCCACCCCCAAAAAAGAAGACTGAACAAATATAGTAGAGGGAGGGATATCAAATAAGCTGAAGGTTGTTTTAAAACTTTGAATAAACTTTTCGCCCTTCACACTGCCAAATTCCTGCCACGGGTTCATCCATCCTTACCTAGCTCCCCTACCCAATCCAGCTAAACTAAACAATAACTGACAAAGAACACCATTTCCAGCATTTAAGTGACATCAATCATTATTCCACATTTCTGACCATAACTGGGCCCACAAGGCGGCTTCCCCAGAGTCTATCAAAGAACAAAAACAGACCACAAGTGTCAGTCCTGCATACCAGGATTTGTGACTTTCTTCAACTCAGGGACAGCATCAAGAGCTTTGTTAAGAGCCACAGTTTTTGGCCTTTAGCACGCAAACACTAAAAAATGCAAAAGAAAAAAATGATGCCTCTCTGTTTAATCCCGAATGGTGCTGTTCTTCCAGCAGCTGGGGAATTCTCAGAGTGGAAGTTCAAACATTTTGAAGTTGGAAAAACACTGGATTGGCCCATCCTTCCTTGGACCTGGAGTGGCAAGTTGGGAGATTTCCTGAACTTGCACACCAATCCAAGAAACGAGTGGCAACTGTGGCCAGGAAGAGCTTTGCACGATTTTATCTTCTGCATAAATTGCACCTGTTTCCACACCAAAAGGGGCTCTGGATGGTGACTCAAGCTTTGGAGACCTCATGTGTGGATTATTTCAATGTGCTCTTTGTGGGGCTACCCTTGAAGATCCCTCAGAAGCTGTGATGGTCCAGAACGTTGCACCACAAGCAGTGATTCCCATGTATCACCTCTGCTCCATGAGGCCTCCAGATGCAATATATGTTGCTGACTACCACTTTTAACCCCTTTCAAGGCATCAAGCCTAACAAGGAAACAGCTCTTCATAATTCCAGTAGAAAACCCAAAATCTACCTCTTCCCTGCTGCTGAGGGTAGAAAACTAATTATTTGAAGCAGAATCATCAGGAAGGAAAGAAGAAAGTTTTTCTCTTTACCAAAGACTCTTGATCACATAGTTATCTGTTGGGGCACAATACATGCTATTTAGAAGCAAACACATGTATTTTGCAAGTGAACATGTATGTCTTTACCTTCACATAGTAAAAATGACACAATGTGTACACAAAAGAGATGTATTATCATGCTTAGTAAACTCCTTAGACCAAAGTACAAAATGCATGCTTTTTACATACATACATACATACATACATACATACATACATACATACATACATACAT